AACCAACAGTTATAGTTGTGATATTAAAGTGAAATTTTCATGAATTGTATTATAATAACAGAGCAGGAAGAATAATTCGTCTTGTCAATTTGTATTCTAAAGTAATTGAACCAGCTTGTGTGGACTTTCATGAAAAGACATAATTATTTATAGCTCTGGATATAACTGTGGTAACGTGTTTTAATATATCATTTTAAAACAAGTGGACCGTGTTCTGCTTATTTATTGTTGAAAGTTATCGCCAACAAGTCACAGACACCTACTGTAAATAATTCGGTCCATACATAAAACCTGACATCTGCTAAGTTGTCCTCCCAAAGACTTTGTCTTCTTGTCAAAAAACTGCTTTGAACACAGTTTCCATAGATTTATCATCTCTCTGTTGATCTGTTATGACTTGAAATCTTTGATTTTAAAAAATCAAAAGAAGTATTCTCCCCGATGGCTTAGTAGTAAGGTTGAAGGCTTATAATGCAAAAACAAAATCATGTTTCGATACCTACAGTGGGCAGAGTACAGATAGCCAGTTATGTAGCTTTGTGCTTAATAACAAACAAACAAACTAAAAAGTCACATTATTGGATATAAAACCAAGAGAAATAGCAACATGGAAAATAAAGACAACATAATTTTATTCATGTTTTTTTTTTCGTAAAAAAATGATTTAAAAACAAAACAACATTTATTCTAATGACGTCCACCTTTAAAGGAAATGGACAGGAACTGTGGGCATCAATCACTAGGTTTCTTTGGATCGTGTGTATTATACCAGTCACGTAGCAGAAAATACAAAAAAACAACAACAATATCACAAATTATTATTATACTGGTCTAAAAATCCATTGTTGAATGATTAACGAAAATTATAAAATTTAAATAAAACGAATTTATCTGTACTTCAAAAATGTACCTATTCTTCACTTATTTCATCAGTTTGGAAATATTCTTTAATCACCACATTTTTAAGAAAATCTACGCAGAAAAATTAAATGTTATCGTGAAAAGTACGTGTGCACCCTGAAAAAAAGAATTAAATAACATTCTTGAGCATTTTCACTGTATTCTAGGTCAGGAAGTAGAAAACATATTGCAGACATTCCAACAGAAATTTTTAACTATTTCGACTGTACAAAATATAAAAGATATTTGGTAGTAATAAACATTTATTTTCCTTTACGTTTTAAGGCCAAGTAGATAATATATATGTTAAAATACCAAAATAATATTTATTAATCAACATTTATTCACCACTTAAAACGTTTTAAACACCAACTCTATAACGTCAGTAAGAGTAGGCCTAATACTTAAACGTAACGTAAGGCTTAGCTGAAACACTACTTGGTAATTTTCTTTTGCTTTTGGCTATAATTCAATGCCATAAAACTTCTGAATTTAACTATTTTGCTGTTATATCACCAAAGTTATGAAAAAAATAAAGAATAAACAACAAGCTTTTCTAACAAATCAACATGAATATTGAGCATTCAACATAAACACCATAGTTGGGCTAAAAACAAACAGGTGATAGTTTTGTTTTTGAGCGACGATGTATATTGTTGAGCATTACCAAAAAAAAGGAGCATGAAAGCGTTCTCGACAGAATCACAAAGGTAATAATAATAAGAAAATATAAAAACGGAAGACTCTTCAAAATAGAAAGAAGAGCTAAAATATTTTTAGCGCAAATTGTGGTTTCTATGTATGCAATTTTTTAACGTGAAGTGTTCAAAATATAAATCTGAATAAGCTGGTTACTGTTAAGAAAAAAATCTGTAAGCTTTTCAGATCTTTAACAGGACTTTATTTCATTTTAAACTTAACCAATGACCTCAGTTTTGGTAATGTGATAGTAGTAAACAAGGCTGTTTGAAATTTATCAAGAACGTTCAATCAGAAAGCTTTTTTTCATATCGAAAACCAAAGCAAGTTCTAGATTTTAATGTGCACAAGTATAAATGGTTTCACACGTCATCAAGTAATCATCATATCAGGTTTAAGTCAAACCTATCAATCACTTTTTCCTGGTCATACATTGTCATTACTAATGTAGTCTTATAGACATATCTTTTAGTAACAGTTATCTAAGCTTCCTTTTCTTGTATGTAGCCGGTTGCAGTCGTTATCACAGTAGTCACTCAGATCTATTGTTTTTTTTAATCATGTAAGCAATCTCCTTTTCTGTATGCAACCGTGTGTTCTATTTTTCTAACGTATATGGGTCAAGCTTTTTTAAATGTCCATTTTTCAACTGGAAAATGTTGAAAAAACAATATTCTCATAT